TAATTCAATGGGTTGCTTTTTTTCTTCCAGCTTATTATTTGTGTCAACGATGGACATAGCTGGTGAAGTAACGTCATTCGATGTTCTTGAAGCCAAATGTTCAATATTAACTTCCAACTCTAAAATGATTTAAGTTTAAAAGTATAAGATAATTGAGTCAATAATCAAAATGTAGATTAAATTTTTTTATGTACTTTTAGTGACTTCTTCATGTTTTTCAGATGAGTTACTTTCTATGTTAGGGCGATTAGTATCATTCGATGATACTTCAATGGGTTGCTTTTTTTCTTCGCATTTATTGCGATGCAAGTGATTCTTATGAAAACTCTTAACACAACATAATAACATATTAAATTATAGGATAAATTTTAGTTAATTTATATAAAAAATCTACGTTAAGTCAAAAGAAATGTTTAGGCTACATATATATATTCTATTAAATATAAACAAATACAGAATAAAATTTACTTTTCCTAATAAATATGCTGGTATTGATGGCGCATTGCCTTTTGGAATTGGTATATAACTATTTTTTGCTGAAACTGATAGTTTCTCTTTATATTTTCCAGTTTTTTCATTCTTAATAAGTGTTGCAATATCTCCTCGCTGTATCAATTTCTAGGCGTAACCAATGGCAAATTAAAATGAATAAATGAAATATAATTAATATTTTATTATTATCTTCCATAATATGTCTCTTTTCTTTAAAAATCTTATTGGAAATCAACAAGATTAAGATATTAAAATTGAAATTAGTTAATATTTTTTACTAATATCTCGACAAAATAATACATTTATACAGTCGTTCTAAATAATATCAAATATTAAACTATTGCTGTTATATTGTGAGGGTTGATATATCTTTACAATTTTAATTACCACTTTTTCTGCAATAATTTCATCACTTTCAATTTGTTTTCGATATGTACGTTTTTTTGGTTTAACCGAATTTGTTTCAGTGTTTATATTTCCACTAGAATTTGCTGTTAAGAGAATATTATTTTAAAAGTTATTAATTAAATAGTTAATTTTGAAAATGTTTACGGTGAAAAAATGCATTGACGTTGATATTACATCTACTCTAATGTTTATAATTTACTGAAATAGTGAATAATATTAAAATTTTTTTAACTACAATAAAAAAATAATAATTATTTATCAAAAAGAGAATAATCTTTTTTAATTTCTTGTTATATTTTATATCTAATCTTTTTCTCGTTACTTGATAATTAGTTTAATTAATCTTAATAGTGTCTACAGTTATTAATTTCACCTGTAGACTGTCTTGATGTTTGGGGTTCTTCTGGACTATCAACGACTAAATTGGAACTCAAGAAACGACGATTCCAGAATTCTTCAACTCTGCGTTTCACAACATTCATATTTGTTTCATAAATATGACTATCCGTATTATTTTCGCTTGCCATATTAGTAATTAGTTAAATAACTCTGAATACTTACACGAAATGATAGCTTATTTGACGAGCAAACACAAAGTGATCCCAATATCAACATAGACAACGTTTATATATGATAAAGTCATGATTGTCATAGCGAGTTAATTCGTTGAATTCTTTTATTATAAGCCACTTAATATTTGAAAATTGAAAATAATTGTTAGTTATATGATATATTATTAATCAAAATCAGTCCAGCGAGAGCTGAGATTGAATGGTAACAGACAAAAAAAATAAATTATACACATTATAGTAAATATCGAAGTTAAAACTATTAATTTTTTAATTAACTCATAATAAATGTAGGAATAGTAAACAATTAAATAGTATAGTAGTTATTATACAAATTATTAAAAACATTTATTTTTTAATACTCTGGTTGGGTTTTAGTTTTGAATTTTATTAAAATTTAATTATTTCCATCATTAGCTGCATTTTGACTTTTTAACTTTGCTACTTAAGTATGAAATTTTGTCATATTAGAACTGATAAATTTTATTGTATATTAAGAAAAATTATTACATTTGATTTTACCATTATAAAAAAAATCAATTTTTTATACTATACTAAAGTTTTAACTATATTGAAATTATTTACAAGTTTGGATCAAAGTTAAAAAAGAACAATAGTTTTTGTTGTCCTACTGTGACAGACAAATTGTACTTTTCATTAACATCTTGTATTGAACTGAATTTGTAGAAATGTTAATAATAAGTTCATAGTCTTCCTTGCTCAAAGAAAGAAAAATGTCAAGATTTGATAGTTATTTTAGGATTACAAAATCCATTAATTCTGACTAAAATGGTTTAGTATTAATTATGATCTAGTGTATGTAAAATATCATTGTGCCAGTTTTCTTTAAAAGTCTTCTAGTATTTAGGCATCGAGTCTAAAAAATTTTTACAGTTTATAAGAAATAATTGACAAATTATCGAAATTAATACATTCATGTAGCTAAATTGCATAGCTGACACGCCGTTTCATATCACGAAAATTAACAATGGGTATTAAACAATTTATTTACAAACATTTTAAGTTACATACTTTCAAATAGTATTGATATAAATCTTTAAATAAATTCAGAGTTTTATAAGTTTTTTATTTACAATTACCATTTTTGAAGTAATCGTAAAAATTTAGATGATTTTTATATTTTGTTTGTTTTTAACTTATATAATTTCTTTAAAATATTGTAATTATAATCTGATTAAATGCATACTTAAACTTATAAACATAATAATACTCATGATTACAGCTTTAGGATCTGTGATTGGGATGAGACCCAATCACAGATTCATAACGTGTAAATGGTGATAACGACAGTAATTATGATGAGACTGATGATGAAATTCAACTAATATATTATATTCAATATAATATTTCAGTTTTGTTTATTTATTCAAGATAAACAAAACTAATATCTTATTATTATATTTAGTAGTTTATTATTAACATTATTCACAAAAAAACTTTATAGGTAACCCAACTCAACTCTTTGATGAAATCAATAATAAAAATATTACTTACACATTTATATATAAGATTTTATTTCATTTATTGGTAGATCATATTTCTATAATTCTCATATTTAATTTCATAGGTTAATTTTGAAGAAAATTTAAATAGGAGTCATCTAATTAATAAAAGTTGTTCGGTCATTTTTTTAATACCCAATTTTTAATTTTATATCTTTTGTGATAAGTTCAAAAATCGCTAAACTAAAATATTTTGTGAATTTAAATGAGTTGATTTATATTAGATTTTAAAACTTGAATAATTTAGGCTATTAACAAATGTTTCAATATTTGAGGTTGCAATTAAATTAAAAAAAAACTTGCATATATTCTATGTATAGGCAAAGAAATACTTTTAATCATATCATTATCATATTTCTATTCTAAATTTATCAGATTATCAAAAATTGATACAAATTCCATAACTTTATGTTCAGCTCCTTATGTATCACTAAAATCCTTACAAAATTTGATTCAATATCAAAATTTTGTACACAAAATCACTTAATTCTAAATTTTAAGTTATTGATAAATTTAAGAAAATATTTTGACGAGAACATATTAGTCAGTCGGCAAATTTTCTATCCCAAATGACCTTTTTATTTTTTGCAAAAAATGTTAGTGAACACTGGTAAACTATCTTATAGTCGGTAGTTTTTCAAACTAACACCTAACTATATTGGGAAGGCTAGAAACGCCCCTGCCACTGTGTAGAAGCTTTAACTAACTATGTATTACTTAGTTGTTCACTGCGCTCGTAAATTACCTCATTTATATCACACTTTTATACTAACACCCAATATAACTAAATGACATTAGTTATAACTAATAATTATTAAATCAAATTTAAAATTAACTTTAGGTTAGGTATAAAATAGCAATGTTACTTTTATTTGTTACATTCAAATTGATATTCAATTAAAAAAATTACTAGAAATATTTAATTAATTTTAAGTAGATTTTCAAACATTTTAGTTTTAAAATTTATAGTTACAGTAAATTCATTTAATTTTAGTTTTCAATGACTGCTTTCATTTCCGCAATAGGATATTATTTTAAATTCTAATCCAATACAAAAATAATTTACACCTGAATTAAGTTTTATTTTTATCATAATATACAAAAATAAAAGAAAAAGAAAATAAATATTGTAAAAGCATAGAACTCTACATAATTTTTCTGCGCTTTTCCAGTAGTAAAGTAAATGTATTTATTACATTATTAAAGTTAATTTTTTGTTCTATAATGATCTCAATACTCAATATATCCAAATTTGATACGTTCTTGCTCAAAGTCATTTTTGTCTCCAAACTGTTCACACGATTCATTTGCACTACATTTTATTTTTAAAATATGTTCCTCATTTCTGAAAGATGAAATATCTAAAAAAACATGTTGAAACCATATCATGTGCAGTTATTATATCAATTTTAGAATTTTGTAACTAATTTGATAAAATATTTGATTTTCCAAGTATATTTTTCCATAAAACTAAATTTAAAATTCACCATTTGAAAAAGCAATTCTTGTTATTCTGAAATAATATTTAATTTTGTATTGAGAAGTTCTCTATCAGCAATTCGCTGTAATGAGTTAACAATTTCTGGCAAGTTTATGTACACCAAGTCCACTGCACGTTTCTGACTTGCCCATCTTATCTCTGAAATTACTTTAGAGTTAATACTAGGACATCAATTTTCTTTTGTTCTTCTTCAAATATTTTTAGTCGTGGTAAACATGGTTCAATTTAAATATGGGGGTGTTTTATATAGAGCGATTAATGACCGTATTTTTAAAAAATGAGTACGCGCGCTTTTAAATGCCTTTTTAGACTTCATTTTATTTGTTTACCAAAATACATATTTTATTTTAAAAAATTATATGTTAAGCCTGGTTCCAATTATTTGTCTAATTGCCAGACATAGGGTGAATACCGAATATACGTCCACTAGCATAAGTAGTCAAATATAATGTATTGTTATATCAATGTCAAACGAATTTACCATTTCAAAATATCAGCATCTATACGCTATAATTATAAGTTGAGAAATGAACTAATACTGAATCATGAAACATTTTTGTCATAATACGGCTCACTGATTTTCCAAGATTTTGGCAGTTGTGAGCAACAATAATTTTTTTATCTAGAAAAACAAAAATTTTATTTTTGTTAATATATGATATATTTAATTAAAAAAAAAAAAAAGGCATAATTGGGATTTTGCAAAATTGAGTTGAGGCATTTTTAGATTTTTATAATAATCTCTCATTTTATAAATAAAATATATTGATTGATATCTAACAGTGATTAAACTAACTTTCATGAAACCATTTTTTGTTTTAATGCTCAATAGGACAGCAGCACCTAGAAATCAAGATTTTGTAGTTTTTTTTCATCTAAAAGTACATTGTATTAGCTATAATTTTATTTAAAGAAGTAGGTTTATAAAAGTCTGGTTTTTTGGAAAATTATCAAACACTGAAAAGATAACATTTGTTATGGTAATTTTGTACCCTCTCAAAACTTTGATTAATGATAGGATTTTTTAAAAAAAGCTATACATTATAAGATGCTTGATGAATTATAAATTAATAAATATTTAATTAATAATAATTGATAAATAAAAGAAACCAATAAATATCATAATATGGAATAAATCTGCTTTTTGGTTCATTAAATATCAGAATTGTCCTGTATTTTACAATAACTAAATATTGCTTTAGTAAATTCATGAAAATTTTTTTTAACACTATTATAAATAACAGTTTGTTAATTTCGTTGTGTAATAATAATATTAACTATTATACATCAATTAATATAAAATGGAACTACTAGTTTTGTTATAAAATCTTGTCATTTTAAAGGCATTAATTTATGTATCCATAATACGTTAAGCAAAATAAGTTATTTTACTCCAAGCATGCTTTTGAAGTAATTTTCATTTATCTTTAGCTTAAATTCAAATGTTTCAAGATCTTCCTGAGTATTGATTGGAAATATGTCATTGACATCAACATCATTATAATTTAGGTTGATTGGAAGATCATTTCTACTATAATTTGTATGTGCCATAATAGCTTCAATATTAGCACTAATAATTTGTTGGGTAGAAGTCAATAAATTAACATCAAACTTAATATGTGTCAAAGCTGCAACAACATGTTTCTGAAAATCTAAAATTTTATCATTTATTATTATATATATATTATATTTTATTATATATACAGATCATTAAAATTTAATTCAGCAGATTTCTCCTAAAATAATAATATGTAATGTTATTTTCATTACATATTTTATGTATCAATATTATTATAATAATTACATTATAACATATATATATATATATATATACTACAGCAGTAAAATTATATAATTTGATAATATATTTTTTTCCAAATTTAATTAACTAGTTTCATAATTATAGTTATTAACTATAGATTAACTTTAAGAATTAATATTTACCAGCGATAGATAATCCCTTAGAACAACCACTTCTGTTAGAGCTCAGCATGAGAAGAGAATAATCTGTATTGGCCACAGAAAATGACCCTGCAATACATTTTTCAATTTTTTAAAAAGATTCAACACAAAACCTTATTTTATAGTAGCAAGACAAGATTTATTAAAATAATTTTTACCTTCATTATCAGATGGTACTTTTACTTTCTTCTGTCTAGATGGTTGGAAATTTTTCTTTGATGATGTATATTTATTAGGATCTACTGAATTATAATTCAACGTGTCTGTAACGAGCTCTGTTTCTATAGGAAAATTTATAGATTCCAAGGACTAAGGTCTAAATAAAAATAAATAAATATAATATAACAGGTAGTAATAAGAATTTATTATGTTACAACTAAATTTAGAATCTGGGTCTTTTATACTGTCATCATCAGAAACATGATCATATTCTATATGATTACTTGAATTTTCAGCAACAACCATGTTCTCTGTTAAAATGATAAATAAACATGTGTTCAATATTTTTGTTTTAACAATTTATAATATTAAATTGAATTTACTAAACGATTTAGGAAGTTGAAGGTGAGATTTTATTTTTGGTTTATCTTGAGCCTTTTTAGGAAAAGGAGAAAATTCTTTTCTAGCTCTGTTTTTTCTCGTTTCTTTCATATTTTCAATTTCTGATAAATCTGAAGATTCTTGTGCTATTTTTTCTTTGCTTTTTGCTTATTCATAAGAGTCTGTAAAATATTATTATATTAAAAAAAGATATGAAGACAGGAAAAATTAAGTAAACGATCCTTTTAACTTTGAAATTTTGTTATACCATAAGTAGCAGAACCAATTTGTCTAGCCTTTAAATAGTAAAAATCTGAACTATTAGGTAGTGTACGATTTTGTATTGCTTTTGTAGAATTAATTGTTTTATTAGGCCAAGGACATTCATTTGTAACTTTGTTGAGCCAAGTACTTGGAACTGCTTCGACAGTGTTGCCACATTATTTAGCTAACTATAATTTTTAAGATGAACTTTATAACACATGATAAATTATATACACTAACTGATTATCAATCATCATCCGATTATAAAATCTTATAATATAATGATTATTTTATGTATAAAATAATCATTATATACTTAGAAAAATATTTTTGATTGCTTTAATTTACATAATATAAATAATACACAATTATATATATTAATATAAATAAATGTGTAGTAAATAAAAAATTATTCTACCTGAAAAAACAAAATAAATATAATAAATTAATTTAAATAATTTATTCACAATATATAAAAATCCATTGTGTTGTACATTATACATCATTACATGATTGTATGAATTACTGGAATAGCAATTGTTTTGTCAGCTACAGTAATTACCATCATTTTACATTTTATTATATTTTCCTCAACTACGATATAATTTTCAGAAATATTATTTATTTTATAAATATCCAGTAGAGTACACAAAAGAGGTTCAGAGTAAGCTGGACTTATATCAATAAAATATTTACCGACATGACAGAGATTAATTTATTACTAACCTTTTGACACGCAAAATTTAAACATTTAATAATTTTTTTTTATAAAATTTATCACCTGAATAGGACTACCTAAATTTTTCTTTACATTATTGCATTGCTCCTCATATCTACGGATAAATTGCTGCAATGGTTTTTCACATTTTCTGAGTACTGACTTAAATTCTTTCATAAAATTTTCAAATGGATAACAACTGTATTCATTAATTGTTATAATCATCAATCAAATGTAAAAGTCCATGAACATTATGAGACACATTGAAGTTACCATAAATTTTATCAAATGATTTAACAAAATAGTTCAAGAGTTCTTGAGCATATTCTGTGTAGTTTTTTTTTTATTTGGACTTAGCAAAATTATCATGGCAACATTAAGTGACAAAATTAAAATAGCAATCCATTGAAATTATATTTTTTAAGACAAAAGGTCCAGCATAAATTAAAAAAAAACGTAGTTCAGTAGCTTTCCACTGTAAAATACCTTAAATTTCTCAAGGCTTTCTAGGAAACTCTACAGGTACTTATTTTTTAACATGCAACAATCGTGAAAGAATTTCATTAATATTTCTTGCTGGTAATCGTACAGTTGATGGGCCTTTCAAAACCCAAAATAAAATCAATTTACACATTACTCCTAAATTAGTAAGATGCATATAATCCAATATAAAGAATCGAGTTATTTCAATGTTGGAGATTTCAGCTAAAATGGATGTAGAAGATGTATGAAATTCTTCGTGTACTACATTTCGATATTCATAATTATTTCTTAGTGTTGATTTGGTGGTACTATATGGAAAACACACACGATTGTTTAAATAATCACCTTCAATTAGATGAGTACACAAATTAAAACCACTATGGCTTTTAATTTTTAAAATAAAACTTTTAGCAGGTGCATCTAAGCAAAAGATATCAAATTTAATAATAAAATGTTTATTATTGATGTTTAATCCATTATTGGTTAAATGCACAGCTTCATTATCAAAATCTATCAAAAAATAATCACTTACTTTAGGCTTAGTATTTCCATGATACAAGCCAATAGGAAACACTTTTTTTACATTATGATTTCTAATATAAGCTAATATGGGCCAGAATTGACTTTTGCTAAAATGTGCCAAGGGTAAACCATCAATATCTACAACTAATTTTAAAATACTGTTATTAACTAAACTATCATCATAATTTAATTTTATACCTTTGGCAAAATAAATGGTGATATATCCCAGGCTTTACAATTCTTATTCAAATATGGATTACCAGATGTCCCTAACAAGGTTATACTATCTTTGGACAATGAGGAAAAGCATTTATGACTTTTTAGCACCAAAAGTAAACCATTAACAGCATTTAAAGGTATGTTATAATGAACTGCTCAATGAGCTAGTTCATCATTAAATGAATTTTCAAGTTTTTGGATAGTATTAATATGTTCTTTAGATTTTAAAATGTCAGTTTTATCAAATGAAATGGGTGTAGTAACTAAGAAACCATTAAATTTGTTGATACACCAGAGCTAGGAGCAGGCTGAGTTAAATCATGATAATTGGTGGAATTATAACTCGATTTGACTTGGCATAAATTAATACTATCAAGACTATTATTTATTTTTCTTCTTATAGAACAACTACTCTTTACTCAGATAGACATAATATAAATTAAATTATATTATATTTATACAGATTTTGATAAACTAGTAATCTAATTTAATTTATCATTAATAATAATTATACAATCAATTTAATAATTATAAATATACTATATATAATAAAACTCACTAATACAAAAAATATAAGTTTTGCGTTTCAAAGACAATTACCAAAACCATGTACAATTGTACAAAACAGTTCACAATGCGTTTGACAAAAAATATATACGAAACTAGCAGATTCGAAATAGGACGATAGAAAGAAATAGAAGATCAACTATAAATAAACAATGGCAACGCTTAATAACCGACATATGCTCACAAACTTTATTTTGTTGTCATCGCGGTTAAATAGACCCCGGTTTAAAAAGCCAAACAATATATATAACTGTGGTCGTCTTCTTTTACAACAAGATAATTTCGAATAGCTGCAGCTACCTGAAATTATATATTTGATAACATGTTATCAAATATATATTTTTAAACGAGTCGAAACTACGATCGTAGAACAACAAATATATTTATTTATTCTACAATTTATGAAGGCTAGGTATATCTAGTATAATAACATGAATGAAATTTACAATCGTTTATTAATATCAAGCGATAATTATATAATTATTTAACTATAGATTTATCAACACAATGTGGAAAAGCTGGTAGCTTTATTGCCCGATTTTCTTGGGTAACATCTTGTCATGACAAAAAATTACATCATTATGATGTATTGAATTGTATTAATTAATTTTCCAGAACCACAACTTAAGTCGTGTCCCTAGAAAATTATTAAAATTGCGCTCCTTGAATACTGAAATACAATTAATTGAATTGTGCTCTTACTATAACCTTCGAGAGGTATAGTGCTTGTTAATCAACAAGCATTCAAAAATTTCAAAACGATGTTTTTATTTTAAATATTTTTTCCAGTTCGTGTTCGACTCCCAACTGAAGAATACGTTTGTTACTTCCGAGCGAACGGCATTTATAGCTATCGATAGCGTACAGACGAGTCTGCACTACATAAATCAGGTATTATGCAATTATTTCCTATCACAACACACCGCTCACTAAAATAAACCAGTTTCACAACTTACTACAAAACAAACGGCCGCCGCTGTCGGTACGGCTGCCGACGGTTCGAGGTCAATTACTCGAACATCTTATCTACTATAATTATCCCAACAACTTAACCAAATCATTCAACTAAGAATACTACAAAAAAAAAACTATTTCACCGTTAGTCTTATCTAAATCAACATTTTCCCAGTCTACCGATAAATCGCTCTTTGAATTCTCGGACAGCGAAAATGACTGGCAAACAGTCGATAAAAATAAACGCATCAGATCGCCTAATAGCGTCTCACCCCAACCAAAAAAATTTGATACGATATATTCATCTCTCAAAACAGATACACACCAATCTCTCCTGCGACTGAAAACGTTCCCATGGACAGCACTAATGAACAAAATGAAGAAAATATCACTAACAAAAAAAGTCTACCTCCACCTATATTCATNTTTTTATATTAAACAAATGGAAGAGTACTCATTTACTAGTCTAAAAAAGAAGACATTTTTTCTCTGTAATCGTATTGATCAAGAATAATCACTTTTCTAAAATGTTTCAACTAATTTTATTTTCTTCACTCTGTATATATGGTTCTACTAATTTGAGAGTAACAATGACATACGTTTCTGTATTAAATACTTTGGTGCAACAGCCAGGCTGGACACAATTTACAACGCCTGTTAATACATTTACATACAAGGGTAAGAATTTTGATCGTATAAGACAAGAATTTGAATTAAGTACAATATTCCCATCTGATTCGGTCCCTAATATTATTAAAAAAGAGAATTTTTACGATAGAGTATGGCAATTACATTTGTTATTGGGCATTCACTATGCTATTGATCTAAAAGCTCCTATCGAATTAACGTTATATTTCTGGGATTTCTGTCAAAAAAAATGCAATGATGATTTGAAAAATATATGTCTACAATGTTTGGCTAAAAGTTGTCAAATCTTTTACAAAGAAATTAGAAGGATGAAAAATTCATTATTCTATTTTTTTACAATAGTTCAATTACCCATTCAAAATGTATATGACACTCTTTTTAATAGAATTCATGTTATTTTAAATTGTTTGAGTGATTTAGAAACACTAAAAGATCTTACAACATCAAACAGTTTTGAAAAATCTCTTGAAATAACAATATTCGCAATTCGAAGTGCTTTTGAATGGCATACTCAAAAGATTAACTACTTTTGTATAGAAAATCCAGCACAACCTCTTTATGCTAGTTGGTGTGAAAATAATNATTCGAAGTGCTTTTGAATGGCATACTCAAAAGATTAACTACTTTTGTATAGAAAATCCAGCAGAACCTCTTTATGCTAGTTGGTGTGAAAATAATATCCCATTAGAAGAACAACTTAAACACATTCAAGAAATATATAAAACAAATATTAATAAACTTATTGAAATTAACAATACTTACGGTTTTAAGTATGATCCAGATACTCTTTTTGTCATAAACAATCGGATACAGTTATATGGAAGATAAACATTATAAAAAGTAAACTTTTATCTATATTTGAATAAAAAATAAAACATAATATGATTTTCGAATGATTAATAATAATATTGTAATTATCTTTGATAATTGAAAATAAAATATTTTAAATTATTAAATTTTATTATATTTTTTAATATAAATAATATTTAATACTATAAACCTAAAATAAAATGTCCTATATTTTAAAAATCTCAGCGTTATACCTTTTACTGTTAAAGTTCAGTGACTAACATGTGTGAATGGCATTTGAATGCGCCTTTGGCTCAACAAAGCAATTATTAATACGCGTAATGGGTGCTCATATGTTAACATATAAAGAATTCACCACCGTCATTTACCGAATAGAGAGCGTTCTAAATTCTCGGCCTCTTGTCCCCAGTTCCACTGATCCGCATGATCTTGATTGCCTCACACCAGGGCACTTTCTTATAGGACAATCGTTGCTTGCTGTTCCGCCGCATACTGAACTCGACGCACCATGTTCTTTAGTTGAGTGCAGGAAATTACTGGACAACTGTCATCAGGCTTTCTGGCATAGTTGGTCATCGGAATACTTGTCCACTGTACAACAAAGAGCTAAATGGTTAACTGATCAACCAAATGGTCTCGTAGGCGCCATGGTCATTAGTAAAGATAACTCGTGTCCCCCATTGATGTGGCACTTAGGTAGAATAACGGCATTAAGGGCAGGACCCGATAAAATTGTACGTGTAGTGCGCGTTCAAACCCACCAGGGTACACTTGTGCGCCCTGTTGATAAATTAGTAGTCTTGCCAACCGATCCTGATGATTCCATACATCCTTAAATTA